ATTTGAGTTTTTTTTTTTGTTTGGTATCTTGTTCAGTTTTATCAGGTGTCATATAAATTTCATTTGGAATCGATTTCGTTACAGATGATATCGTTCATTAGCATTTTGTTGTGTTTATGGCTGTAACGGTTAATGCGTTCACGAACATTTTTATTGTTATCATATTTTCATTAGTTGCATAGTTACCATTGAAAATTCAGGATGCGACTCATTGGATTTGAAGAAATTAGACGGTTTGCATGCGCCGTTTGAGTGCATGGTCACATTCGAGGGGAACGACGCAGCGGTCTCGGCTTCGAGCATTCTGATGGCAGACGCCGTTTTTGTCTCATCGATAGGTTAGTGCAGTATTTGGATCGTCAGTTAGATAAAGATAACATTCATTGAGTTGAGAGGCGCTTTGTGAGAACATTTTTCAGTCGAAAAGAAAATTTTTTCGGGTCTTTTTAGTTTATTCGTATGCATTTATGTGATTAAGGATGGATGGAATATCATTTGTTTTCATGGAAATAGTTTTGGGAATAATTACAGGGTCGTATTCGTGTGTTGTCGAAGAAGGTTTCTTTGGTAAATCAAGCGCCCTCATTGAAAATGATCAATTGAATGTGTTGATTAGTGCGAAGTGGATTACTTCTTCAAAGGTTTGTTTGAATTCTCTGTTTTTTGATTGTTATGACAATTAGATATGCTAATAGATCAGCGATTTTTTAGGTTATGGAAACAAATGCACGAACTGTATTCTACGCACGTTTCGAAGTGGATCAGCAGAGAATTCATCTGAATAATGTCCACTCACAAANCGAACTGTATTCTACGCACGTTTCGAAGTGGATCAGCAGAGAATTCATCTGAATAATGTCCACTCACAAAAAGCTCTCTTAACAATATCGGCACCGAAATCGATACTGAAATCGATCACATTCGAAGCATGTCAACAAGGTATACTGCTCATTGGAAAACCGAACTATGCGAGCGCCACTTCAGTGCAGTATCAGATTAAAGTAAGTTTCAGTTATTTGCTTTATCGCATTCGTATATTTTCGAATAACAAGAAGCTCCATTCAGAGAGTTGAATAAGTTCAGTTTAGAAACATTTATCAATTGTTGCGTGAAGCAGTTGAAATGTTAAATGAATAGTGATCAGTTTGAACAAATGAACAAAATGACATTTAATATGTTTAAAATAAATGAACATATTTAATTAACATTTATATTTTCATATATAACAGCCGATCATGATATTTATGTTTTTGTGCATTGATTAGCATTTTTTTGTTTGCAGTGTTGAATTGATTAAATAATAGTAATTGTTTAAAATTGTTGCAGTTGAACGTGAATTCAGCAACGCTGTGGCGTGAATTCTTGAAGGAGTGCAACATTACAGTGACGAATAAAGTGATCGGACAGACGGAAACGATATCGGTGCAAATTACACTGCATGGCGATGCTTCGAAAGCGATCATTAATGGTCAGTTTCGTGAGCATTATTCCGTCTTTTTATTTTTTAATTCCTCGAATTTTGCGATATTCATTATGCCATCATTCTATACGTAGTTTTAGCGATTCTTGAGAATTATTAGGTATGGCAAAAAGTTTCGGGCAGTTGAACCTAAAAATTTGAAAGTTTCATAACTCGGTGGTTGAAAATCAACATTTTAATTCAAAATAAAAATCGTTCGCCTCCACACAAGGTTGCGAGGCCAGGGCTTTTGTCCTCGTACTGTATTCCATGTGAGCGAATTTGTTTTGGTGAATATGATCTAGGAGTTAAAATTCTAGAAATCGTCTTCAGAAATGGTTTTGATGGATTTTTGATGGAATTTGGTGAGAATTGGAGAAAATTTAGTGAACATTAAAGCGGGTCTTAATGTGCATGAATTTTTCAGCATCTGAAAGTCTGCTGGATTATTTGGCTGGATTGGCTGAATACTCGATGATGATCATTGGTACTGTCGTAGTCACTCTCTTACTGATCGCCGTCATAATCGGTTGATTTCATTTTGCTTCAGTTTCCTTTGTTTTGAAACATCTTTTGACATGGTTTTATTGGTCAGATGAAGGTCAAGTCTACTGATAGGAAAGAAATTGGTGTGATCCGGGTATGGTGGGTTTAATCTCGGTTGGGTGGTTGTGCGCATGCAGTTGACGATTTGGAAGGAAATTTAATCAGTTTTTATGAAGAATTTCGATTTGTGAATGTTTTATTGTGCAGTTCGATGGTGGATGAGGAAATAGGGAGAGTTTTGGGTTTGTGAGAGAGACTATTTAATAGTGTTAATGATTGCAGCACATCGAAATGGTATTCAGCTCTTCCCCTATTTATTTGGCAATACATTTGCGGCACAGTCGAGCAGTAGTGGTGTATTTGCATCTGATAGGTCACCGCATACACCAGGTATTTTGAGAATTGTTCAGTGGTCTTTAAGAATCGTTCATCGTATATGGAATATGTCAATGTGTGTTTGACATTTTGATGAGTAATTTTCTGAAAATTTTATGGGGTATAATTTTCTGAAAAAAAATTATCATTTTCATATGTATATGATTGAGTGGTTTAGTTATTTTCACAAAGTGATCGAAGGATATTTATGAATATTTGAGTTTTTTGTTAATTTTTTTTAATGAATTGGGAGAACAGTGAATTTTTCTGTTTCAACCAGAATTCAGTCTTGATG